CATCACCACCGCGCGGTCCTTGAGCCCCAATGGATCCCCTATCGCCTTTATCCCCTTTATCGCCCTTATCACCTTTTTGACCGGGAGGACCCCGATCCCCTTTTGCGCCGGGATCTCCCTTAATACCGCGAAGACCTTGAGAGCCTATAGCACCGTCTTGTCCTCGAGGTCCGGGAGGTCCTTGCAGACCTTGATCCCCTTTTGCACCTTTTGATCCTTGAAGTCCCTGGGATCCCTGAGGTCCAGGAGGTCCTTGATCGCCTTTGTCACCTTTATCACCTTTTGCAGCTGTTGTACCAGGGACTCCTTGCGGTCCTTGCTGTCCAACGGGTCCTTGTACGCCCTGGTCGCCTTGTAATCCTTGTAACCCTCGTGCTCCTTGATCGCCCTTTAGTCCTTGCAGCCCTCGCGGTCCTCGAGGTCCTGTATCTCCTCGATCACCTTTTACCCCTTGAGGGCCCTGATCTCCTTTTCGTCCTGGTGGACCTGCAGGTCCCACACGACCTGTATCTCCTTTAGGTCCTGTATCTCCTTTAGGTCCTTCAGGTCCAATCTCGCCGCGCTCACCAGTACCTCCTTTTGCACTTTTAGGTCTATATTCATATTCATATCCAAAATTGAGATTACCGTGCGAATAGGGATATCCTCTCTTCATTATGAGTGGTTTATAAATGAATAGAATTTCCAGGAATCCTTACTTAAGAAGAGTATGTGTAATATATTATTTCAAAATGATTAAAACCTCACGTTGTAAACATGGGAGCAAAAAAATCAAAAACGAGATTAAATAAGAATATAGAGAAACATGCTGCATGTAAGGTAGGATTAAGTCTAGGTCATAAAGATTTAAAAACCGAAGGTAGTTTTCAGGTAGGATATTCAGTTAAAATAAATAAAGATTATAGACCTATTAATAGGCAAGGACCAAATATTGAACAGCAACCACCATTGCAACGATTACCTACTATTAAGGAAGAAACTATAATAGAAGAAACTATAGTAGAGGAAGAACAGTATGAGGAACCTATAAGATTATCTTCCAGTCTACCCATAATTAAAGAGCAGGGAGAGGGCAATGGATGAGTATCTCTCCAGTATTTATTATGACCCCAAACGCGTTGGAGGATTCGGTGGTGTAGAACGATTATATAACGATGTGAAGAGAGAGGGGAAATACGATATTTCTAGAAATAAAATTGAAGAATGGTTGATGAAACAGGATACTTATACTTTACATAAACCAGCACGTCGCCACTTCGGTAGAAACAGAGTCATTGTTGGCGGAATAGACGAATTATGGCAGATGGATTTAGCAGACATGCAGTCCATAGCTAAGGAGAATGATGGATATCGATATTTACTTATTTGCATTGACGTATTTTCAAAATTTACATGGGTTATACCATTAAAAGATAAGACAGGACCCTCATTGGTTGACGCATTTAAAACTATCCTAAAATCGGAACGAAAACCACACAAAATTCAAACAGACAAGGGTACGGAGTTTTTCAATAAACATTTTAAAGCATTAATGAAAAAAGAGGAAATTCAATTATACAACACTTACAATGAAACTAAAGCGTCAATTGTGGAACGCGTAATTCGCACCTTGAAGACAAAGATGTGGCGTTACTTTACAGCAAAGAAGACTAAGAGATATATCGATATATTACCACACTTAATATCCTCTTATAATAATAGCAAACATCGTAGCATTAATAAAAAACCAATCGATGTAAATTTAGAAAATGAACAAGAAGTGTGGCATACCCTATATGGAGACCGCAAGAGAAGAAAAATTATTTATAAATTTAATATTGGAGATCAAGTAAGAATCAGTAAAATGAAACGTAAATTTGAGAAAGGATATTTACCTAACTTCTCAAAAGAAATTTTTACCATTAGTAAACAAATACCACGCAATCCTCCTGTTTATAAATTAAAAGATTATGATCAAGAAGAGTTAGAAGGGACATTCTATAAAGAAGAATTACAAAAAGTAATTAAGGAGGACGATATTTATGAAGTTGAGGAAATCTTAAAAAAGAGGGGAAAAGGTAAAAAAGAGGAATATTTTGTAAAATGGATGGGATATCCTGCGAAATTTAACTCGTGGGTCCCTGCCTCTCAAATAAAAGATATTTAAAGTGTATTCTTATTATTATTATTCATTTATAACTTGAATCATGAACAACACAGACTTCTATATTACACTCCCTAGCGACTCCTCAAAAAGTATTTTCCCCGAGAACAAACAATCCGAATATACCACAAAAATCCCACACCGTGTCGAACTAAATGGCGAGTGGGAGGTTGGATTATATAACATCTCCTACATAAAATGGAAAATAATACAAATGAACGGAGAACCTATTCAATATACAGTAAATGGTGTAAAAAATAAGGGGGAGAAAATAAAAAAACTACGACTCCCTTGATGAGTATGTGAATGACATTAATAAATCTTTTACGGAAGAGATCAGAAAGAAAATCAATTTCAGCATACATTCAAGAAAAGTAACTATTACTTTAGAGAGTGGGTATAAAGTTAATTTACGAAGAGATCAAGCCATTATTCTAGGGTTTCTATCATTTAACGACACACAAATTGAGAAGAGAATTGAAGCTACTGAGACAGGAGCTCATGAAGGAAATATGCATAGAGAGACTGATATTTACATATATTGTAATATTATTCAACCTCAAATCGTTGGGGATAAGACACTCCCCCTGCTACACATCGTACCTTCAAAAAAAGACAAGGAATATCATTCTATAAAACACATACGATACATTCCTGTCCAAACGAAATCTTTTGAGGAAATACAATTCTTTTAAGGAGTAGTACTAATGAACCTATTTCATTTGAACGTGGACGTGCATTGATAACACTGCATTTTAAACGCAAGAGTTATTTTTAAAAAATGAATCGTCGAAGAATTCAGGAGGGACATGGAAATTTCTTTCGTAGTATAGGAAGATTCTTTAGACCAATTGCCACAGAAGTGGGCAATATAGGTTTAAATGTTGGAGCTGGTCTACTTCAAAATTTAATTAACGATCTTCTTGCCGGAAAAAGTTCAAGAGCATCAGCTAAAGCACATGGAAGACAGGCCGGAACACGTGCTACAAACATGGCATTGGAAAAAGCATTACAAACATTAATGTTAAATCAGGCAGCAAATCAAACCCCAAGACAATCAGGTGGAAAAAAACGTAAGAGATCTCAATCTAGAAAACGATCTCAATCTAGAAAACGATCTCAATCTAGAAAACGATCCCCATCTAGAAAACGATCTCAATCTAGAAAACGATCTAAGAAAAGTCAAATCGGGGGGAGAAAACATAAAACGTCAATAAAACGATCTCTATCGAGAAAAGGTAGAAAAAAACCTCAAGCAGGAAAAGGACGTAAAACAAAACGTAAAACAAAACGTAAAACAAAACGTAAGAGACCCATTGGTGTTGTAAGAGCGCGTAACATGACTAAGAGACAGAGAAAAGCTCTCCCTAAAGACATATTTGGTTGAAATAAGAAAATACTTATATTTGAATGAATATTTAAAAAGTAATCATATCCTATCTGATATTGATGTAAAGAAGAAGTCCATATAAATCTCATAAGAATGAATAATAATTACGTACATCCAAATTCAAATCGTTGCGATAAAAGCGAAATTGATCTATTTGACATTCCATCTACACAATTAAGTTTGGAAAAAGGACGATGGGTTGATTATCATCCACTCTCCAGTGTAGAAAACGATGACGGGCCTATCACATTCATAACGGCAGGTACCGAAGACTATATCGACATGTCAAAAATGATTCTCGTGGTCGAACTGAAAATTACAAAATCGGACGGAACCTCCTTAGGCGGTGACGAACAATCAAGTGTAGCTCCCATAAACAATTTCCTACATAGTCTGTTTAAACAAGTTGATGTTTTTTTAAATGGAAAACAAGTTACTCCGGCTATGGGTACTTATGCTTATCGCGCCTACCTGGAAACCCTCCTGAATTACGATGTCTCGGCAAAAAAATCTCAACTCACCTCAGCATTATATTATAAAGATACCCCAGGACAAATGGATGAAACAGGAAGTCTCCCATCAGAAAAATCAGTGGAGGTCGTTACAAATGTCCCAAGTAGTGGTGTTGCCACTAAGAAAACCATAAAATTCATAGTACCGGGAAATGGAAATCAAGGCTTTGCAAAACGTCATAAATTTATTCAAGACGGAAAACTCTTGGTAATGTCGGGACCAATTTTTTGCGATATATTTATGATGGAGCGATTACTACTTAGTATGGTGGATCTCAAGCTAGTCTTAAACCGAAACTCTGACAAGTTTTGTTTAATGGATAAAAATGCTAATCCTATGAATGCTAAAATAAAACTTGTGGATGTAACTCTTAAAGTACGTAAGGTTAAAGTGAACGAGACCACTAAGGCACATGAACTGGCATTGAAATCGGTACCCGCTACTTATCCTATACGACGGGTGGAATGCAAAGCATTCACCATACCGGGAAACCTTCCACAAATAAGAAAAGATAATATGTTTGCTGGAATCATCCCCAAGACATTTGTTTGCGGTTTCGTAGACGCTGACGCTTTTAGCGGAGTTCACACAAAAAACCCATATAACTTCAAACACTTCAACGTATCATCGGTGACATTAACAGCAAATGGTGAAGAAATACCGTTTAAACAACTTGTCCTTAACTACAAAGATAACAAGGAAAATTTCATCCAAGCATATAACACATTATTCTCAGGCACAGGAAAAATGAATTATAATACCGGTCTCGATATCTCAAGAGAGGATTATTACAAAGGATATACCCTATACGCATGGGATCTCACTCCGGATATGTGCGGTGCCTCGCCCTATTTTAACACAGTGCAACGGGGTTCATTGACACTTGACATTACGTTTGCTGCTGGGGATGTTCCAAGTGCACCCATTTCCTTGGTATGCTATGGAGACTTTGAGAATGTCGTACAAATAGATTCGGAAAGAAACGTAATCTATGATATTTCTACATGAATACCACACAAATAAAAAACGTACTTGAACATCATCCTATAGTTAAAAAATATTTTTGCGGGGTGTTTCCGGCAGATGAAATACCTAAATTTCTAAAAACTTTCCCATGTGGATTTATTGTCAACACGGATCCTAGTACAAAACCTGGAACGCATTGGGTTATTTTTTATTTTACTTCAAAAGAGAACGGTGAATTCTTTGATAGTTACGGAAAACCACCTCAACATTATAAAGACGTATTTAGACCCTCCTTTGAGAATCTCAAATGGAATGCTCGTACCCTACAAAGTCATTGGACCGAAGTATGTGGTCAATATTGCATCTTCTATCTATACCATCGTTGTCTTGGATATACCATGAACAAAATTGTGAACATGTTTACGAATAATACATCATGGAACGATTGTGAAGTGGCATGCTATGTTAAGAAACATTTTAATGTTGTTATATTTAATCAACCCACTTGTGGGCTTAATCAATGTTGTAAAAAACTATTTTAAATAATAATATAATAATAATATAATAACAATAATAAAAACACTCTTTTAGAAAAAACTCTTTATTTGAAATATTTTTATACATCAATAATAATAATAATTCCTCTTCCTCCTATCAAATGGACCTATCCCTAACCAATCTTGTCGTCTAAAAATAGTTCCCCCTCTTGGTTCTTCTTCTTCTTCTTCTTCTTCTTCTCTTCTCCTTATCCATCTCCTCCTTAAAACTCTTTCCCACCTTATTAAAAAAACTTATCCCAAAATCAAATCCTTTTCCCTTTTCCATATCCTCACTCTCTGAGAGATCAAACGACACCTTCTTCTTGGGAATGTTATCCTTACTTCCCACATCTTTCCATCTCTCCTCATTTCTTACCAAATCTTTTGGAACGTTGATTCTATTTAGGACTTGGAAAAACTCACGTACACCCTCAGGATTAAAAGACTTGCGAGATCTCATAGCATCCGAAATCAAATCAGAAATATTAGACTTTGGGATAAGAACACCATCTATTTTCACTTGTCCTGTATTATCCCAGGAAATAACATCGGATCTTGCTCTCAAACGTTCCAAGAGGGCTAAAGCTCTTGCCTTCATGGTCTTTGGAATCCCACGTACAATTATATCATCCGTTAACTCGTTCTCTGACTCCTGTAACGAATTCTCCACTTGACCTCCCACTTGACCTCCCACTTGACCTCCCACTTGCTCCCTGTCACGTTGTTCATAACGTAAAAGCCTCTCCTCGGGAATTAATACCATGCGCTTCATCACTCCTTAAGTAACACGGATAAAGCTAATGGTACAAGCATCGAGAGAAAACCGCTACCCTTCTGAACTAAGAATCTCCTCTTCTTCCTAATTGAAACGTTTCTCTTTACTAACGCGCGCAGTTCTTTCTTGTAACGCGTTAAACGACGCTTCTGACGTGGAGTTAAATGAATTACCCCTTTAAGTGTGTTCAAAACAATCTCGCTAAGTGCTAAAATCAGGTCCGGCGGTCCGTATTGAAAAATGGCTTTCTGTATTTGAGGTTTTGATTTTGCTAACACCTGTATAAACGGTAGAGTTCTTTCTATATACTCTGACATCTTGTAAATGAAACTTTATTAAAAATATTATATATTTATAAATCAATTACAAGATTTAAGAGAACGTCAACATCCACTGGAACATTTATATTAGAACCAACTGTAAATGTCATTTTAGTAACAATATCCGATTGAATTGGAATTGTTGGATAATTCTCATTTGTATACTCCGAAATAGAAGAATTCAGTCTTGTATCTGGAGTAACTGGTAAATATGCAAGAACCGTACTCTTTCCACCTTCAACATCGACACTTCTAAGTGAATCAATAAGATCACACGAGATGGTAAGATATCTCAAACCATGATTTACATCCACAGGGCCTGGTGACTTCTTCTCTACGCTTAAATGATAATTCTCGGGGAAACCAAGTATCTTGCCAAACTTCTTTAATTTTACTGAAGTCATTTTTGTTGAATCAAAACCGATAGTACATGTATTGTCATGAACATTGGGTGATAATGTAATATGTTCTCCTTCCAAACGCTCTTTTAGAAGTTGAAAATCCCAATACCCAGTCTCAAGTGTTTTCTCCTCCTCAACATTATTCTTCACAATCGTAAACTTGTTATTATCACTTGTAATATTCTTAAACTTCCAAAATACTGTAACTTGTTTCACAACAATAGTAGACCCCTCACGTGTCAAGAAGGGTTCCCTGAATGTCACTTTCCTGGAATTACCAGCAATAAAAACAGATATATTTCTTGATGTCATCCTAATTCAAATGAGTAACACAAATGAATACATAACTCATTCTACCTTTGCATATATACAATATGTCTCTCCCCAGGTAAAATATTTGTACGTAAACGAATACTCTCCGGGGTTTGAGGATGACAGTCAATTAATAAATGAGAAAGGTTCCCTCGTTGCATTATTAAAAGAATCCATTAAATACTGTGCACGTCTTGGAAACATCTGTTTGGCCAAAGTTGAAATACCAAGAGAATCACGAGGGTTCTTGAATACGATAAAATAATGTGAATTCAAACTAATTGATAATTTTCCGGGAGGAAACAAATTCTGAGTTAAATAAAAAACAGAAATGCCTTTATGATGTGAACCGCGCGTGAATAAATCAGACACACGTTGATCCTTAGAGCATTCACTCATTAAATCATCCAAAACTATTAATGACTGCTCATGCCCCTTGTCATCTCATCCAAATCAGAGGGAAATCCTTCCACAAACTCTATGTTATATAAATCATCAAACTCCTTTTGATACTCCCCATAACAATAAATAATCTTAGATGGAACAGGATGAAACATCTCATTAATATAATATAATATTTTTCGTATTAAAATGACTCCAACATTGACTTTGACCCGATACATAAAAATTTGCAGGTACCTTAAACCTTACATCCATAATGAAAGTAAAAGTATAAATGAATTAAATAAAACATATATACTTCTCTTATACTTCTCACAATAACATATAATAAATAACCCATAATTATACATATAAACAATATAGGTCTTATTCTAAAAAACGACCCCACATCTCCCTCCTCTTCTTTTTTGCTCGTTCTCTGTATGGTGATAGATCAATAGCTTTTAACACAGGTATTGCAATCCTCGTGGCTCTACGTCTCTCCTCCTCAGAAACACTCCCCGCCGCGTATACCAACGTTAAATAAGATATAACATGCCCAAAACTGCTAGGGCGCATCAATTCCCATATCTTAAATAAATCCTCATAAGATAATGCTCCCAAAATCTCGTTATATGTATCTGTATATTTCTCATAAATCTCTCCAACATGAAACGATAAAGTTAATACATCAATATCAACATTGCTCTTACAAAGTTCATCATAAATTACATCCATAGTTAAAAAATCCTCTGTTCATCTCATAACTAACACACTTCTAAAAAAGCTTCTACAATACATCAAAATTTATACTCTCAAAAAACACGTGCTCATTGAATAAAAACACGTGCTATTACTACTAATTAAAATATTATACGAACTAACCAAACCCTTGCTATTTTATTCAAACTCCATGATTGTCTAGTAATCGCCACATTCAATAATACATCATTATCTATATGTGTACATAACTTTTTAACAAGAGAAGAACCAACACGAATAAAATTCAAATTATGGTTTGCTCTCATATCAGCATAAACACTCTTTACAACTTTATGTATTAAACTATAATCCTGATATGTACACATTCCATAAAGTTTATCCTCAATCTGAACAATAGAGTCACATCTGAACATTCCACGCGGTAATCTTAACACATCTCTGTGGTGTCCCCATACATCAACATACTCCTCGTAAACATGAACACTGTGAGTCGTAAAATAAAGCGGAATCTCTATACAATACTTCCCAGGTCGTATATTGGCATACTGAGTAAGAATCTCCACAATATCGGCCCTTAAAATATAATGAACCATATAAATAAACACCGTCCTGAGTGCTTGTGTCAACTGATTTCTTAGAGGATGAACTCTCAGTAATTGAACAAACGTAATCATAGAATCAATATCCAATGGTCTCACATATGTCCTCTGTTGACAATAAAATAAACCTCTGATGGCACGTTTTGTTGGAGCCTTGCTATCGATAATTATATCTTGAATTTGATTAACAACAACATCGACACTAACATCAACACCGCCAGCCATTATAGAAATGATATAAAAATACATAAATATTACATATTTATAAAATTAACAACACGTGCTCTTAACATAAATGCACGTGCTTTTTTATAAAAACACCGCTACTTAAGTAATAATGTATATCCACATATTCTATTTAGACATAAAATACTCGAAATCCTCCACGGGCCAGTCGCAACCCACACTACGCATGATATTTATCTTATTCTTTCTTTCCTCCTCCTCCCGCACTTTGCTTATATCCTCTTGTTCACTTCCTGTCTCTATATCCTCCTGTTCACCTCCTGTCTCCTTATATTTCTGATCGCATAATACTTCGTGAGTGGTATCTGATAAGCTAAACATTAGGGGTGAGGCGCACGTATCCGGAGTGAGATCCCATGCGTATAGGTATATCCCCTGTAATAATCCTCTCTTGTATTGAGACCGGTCCTTCTGTCCTCCTCCCGCACTTTGCTTATATCCTCCTGTTCACCTCCCAGTTCACCTCCTGTCTCCTTATATTTCCGATCACACAATACTTCATGAGTAGTATGCGGTAAGCTAGACATTATTATTATTATTATCTGTGAAGAATTATATAATAATAAAAGAAGCACACAACAGCAACATATATTTATAAGATAGAATAAACACGTGCTTTATAGAAGAAACACGTGCTAAAATATAAAAACACGTGCTGAAATGAAAAAACACGTGCTTTATAAAAGAATAACAAACACGTTGCAATAATTATGAATGACGTCACAAGAGAATTAGGATTTAAAATA